CTCACACACACTCACCTGAAAGGGTTTATGCCGCCATCTCAGCTTGCTGCTCTTCCTTGTGCCTCCCGCCACAAAAAGCAGGTCAATCAGAAGACCAATCCATGCGACAGCCGCCTCTGCATCCCATCTCCATCTCACTTTCAGCTCACTCACACTCACCTCAAAAGGTTTATGTCGCCATCTCGGTTTGCTGCTCTTTCTCATGCCTCCAAGAAAATAAGGCACCTAACAAATGGTAAATGGTGGACATTTCACCTCAAAAGGTTTATGTCGCCATCTCAGTTTGCTGCTCTTTCTCGTGCCTCCAAGAAAATAAGGCACCTAACAAATGGTGAATGGTGGACATTTCACCTCAAAAGGTTTATGTCGCCATCTCAGTTTGCTGCTCTTTCTCGTGCCTCCCGCCACAACAAGCAAATCAATCAGCAGACCAATCCATGCAACGGCCGCCTCGGCATCCCCTCTCCTGCGCCCGAGCCTGCCCTCCACGCCTGGCCCGGACCTCCCCTGCCCGAGGCTGCTACCCAGGTTCGCCCCCGACCTCCATCGCCGAACCTCCTGTATCCGAAGCAGCTGCTTGGCGAGGCACATGCTGACAATTGTTGATGAGGCAGGTTCGGAAAGAGAAGCTCTGTCTTCACTTTGTTGATTCGACTCTCCCCGTGGTTCTCTTTGTGTATTTTCAATTGATTCCTGTGCCCACGCGTTTACTAGCAGGTGATCTTCGTTATAGCCCCATCCCGCATTATCACATGCTCCAGACACAGGTTCTGAATGTGCCTGCTGCTGTTTCTCCTGCACCTGTTGCTCCTGCAACCTCCTCTGCACCAATAACAAAGATTCCTCCCAAAGCTCCTCTAGCCCTTTTCCCTCACACCTCCCCTGTTCCTCCCACTCCTCCCCATTCCTTCCCCCAAATCCCCCAGTTTCCCCTGACACTAGCGTCTCTAAGGCGGTTACCACATGCACGCGCTGCTGCAGAGCTTGCAGCAGGTCGTGTGACTGTAGGCGCCTCTCTTTAATAGCACGCAGCACTAGGGTTTCTAGAGCTGACTCAATGTCCAGCCGAAGAGAAGAAAGGTGGGGTTGACAAGCGGGTGTGACTGTATCAAAAGGTGGAATTGTATTGAGGTTTGGGAATGTATTGAAGGGTGTGACTGTAGAGGGATGTGTGGATGTGGGTAAGGTGGCAGGTGGAAGCATCCAGGAAGGCAGCCGTGGATCCTCCAGATTTTGCACATTAGGAGGCGATGAGGCTTTGTGTGAGGTTTTATGAGGAGTTAGGTGAGACGTTTGGTCTGAGATGGAAAAATGCGGTGACGTGTGGTGCTGTGGTGTGCGGTGCGGTGAGGAATCAAGTGGCGAGGGGGGAGTGAGATGCCTTTCAAGGTCGACATATGCCACTGGAGCACCGCTCTTAACCCATTCAGAAACCAAATCTGCACAGAGAAAGCAAAGCGTGAAGGGATTAACAGTAATCCTGACAAGAACCTGATGAGAAACTAATGATCAGGAAATGACTAGATGTGTAGAGTGTGAAGAAAAAGATGTGATTGGATTGGTGACAGTGACGGAAGATAGACTCAACTGGAATGGCAGCAGGTGGCTAATCAGGTGGGTGTTTCGCTTCTGAACTGAAACATCTGACCGCTCTGATGCAGCTGAATCGTGTGGATCAGATGAATCCTCTGACTCAGCAAAGCATTGTTGCTTCGCAGACCCACCTTACAGCAAACTTCTCTTCCTCACACCTCTCCACCAGTGCAGCATTACAATCGCCTGAAACACCTGACTCGCCTGATGCGGCTCAACTGCCCGAATGGTCTGATCTGAATCAGCTGAATCAGCTGAATCATCCGAATCAGCTGAATGCCCTGCATCCTGTTGAGAGGCGATCATAAGAACACTGTTCCTATGCCAACCCACCTTCCAGCATGCTTCTCCTCCCCACGTTTCTCCGCCCATGAACCACCACGATCCTCTCTGATCCATCTAAATCCAAATTACATGACTCAGCTGATGACTATGACTTATGAGAGCAGTGTCTTCCCGAAAACCTACCTTCTAGCATGCTTCTCTTCCCCACGCCTCGCGGTCCGTGCACCACCACGATCCTCCGCGGAAGCCCCTTTCCCGATAACCGCACCCCCACCTCCAGCGCGGGTCCCCCCAGCAGCTTCCCCCACCCGATCTCCCCCTCCGCCACTCCCCCGCCCCCGACCACTGCTCTCCGCACCACCTCCCGCGCGGCTGGCCGCGACACCCAGTTCCATGCTGCGCCGTCCGCGCACGGTGATCCTTCCGCGCGTGCTGGCGTTTCCGCCTGCGGTGATCCTTCCGCGCGCGGTGATCCCTCCACAAGTGCCGATCCTTCCGCGCACGCGGATTCGTTCACGGGTGTTGCGGAAGCTGGACTAAAGGAAGCGGAATTCGCGGAGGTGGAAAGAGTTCGGACTACGAGATTCCTAAGGAAAGCCGATGATTGGCTTTCGCGCGACAGCTGCGAGTGGAGACGCATTATTGACTGACTCTTTAACACCAATGGTCGTCTCATGGTTGATGTTTCCGAGCAGTCCAGGCTGGTCTGAGGCCCAACGTTTCTGGTCAGATTACCTTGATAATAGGAATGCTATGTATCAGATAAAGGATTGCAATGCAACCTCCCTCGGTTAGATCAGGGAACCCATTTGTATCGCTCTGAAACCAACCTAGGGATGAACAGAACAGTGGAAGGCTAACGACGGGTGAAGGAAAGCTACAACGATTGAAAACTTACAACCATTGAATCCAATAGCAAGTGACCCATCGCATATATCGAATGTAATTCAAAATGAGAATACATTTTCAACCAGACCTCGCCGATTTTCGCTGACTTGCACGAAGGCATTCGTCACACCAGCATTTTTTCGTCCCATTTCTGTCACTTCGATTGACTAGGTACTGTTCACTCACCACAGTCCACACGATGCCCGTTTGACTAGCCCAAGGTTGCCTTGTGAAGAGGGCTCTTAAGTGATTCTTGCATTTCGCTAAGCTTTCGTCAATTCGCACTTAGCAAAAAGGCCTTTACAAGATTTTGTAACTCGCTGTTGACCGTTTGACATGGGTCTCTTCTGTCAAACTTCGGTTTTTGTGGTTCGTATTGCTCGAGGTGCTTGTAAATGGGGTGCAACTGGCTGGTACCCTAATACACGGGTGCAGAGTTTCCATCGCGGGCAGGGCAAATTCGCGTGCAGGGGTTGGGCATCTTGTGTCCACGTAACCCACCAGCCAGGCAAATGTTGCCAGCCAAACAGACTTCCGCGTCGCGTGTCGTGGCAATGTCATTCGCAACGCGCCAATCGGGTGCTTCCGCTTTCCGCTACCACCCAGGGCGTGCTGCGTTGTGCCACTTTTTAGACGGAACTGTACAGCACAATTCGCACGTTGGGAAAACAGATGACCACCCACTGGGTGTACAGTCGAAGCGCGTTACAGTCACACCTGATAGCTAGGCAGGATGTTTTTGAAACGAGCAAGCTATTTCGCTTGGTGTTCGCGCACGTCGCCACTGGCATAAGGTGATTGTAGGGTTGCATGGTTGTAACATGTTTAAATTTTCCCAGGTACTGTGGACCAGCGTCTGTTGTTGTTTGTGCATGTCCTAAGTTACCATGCAAGCCATCAGTGGCTTCGCGCTGCATTTCAGGTCCCTGTACGAGGAGACGAACACCCCTAGCGAAGTCAGCGATAAATTCGCTCTTAATCGGTAAGAAGATCGCAGCATTTGCTGTAGTGCTTGTCTTGTGTGCCAAGGCCGAAGCGCTCTGCACATCTGCCCGACAAAAACCACATGCCACCAAAACTTTGAGTGACTATACCCCTTGTGACATCACCCGGTAAAACATGCAATTGTGAGTAAATTTCTAAATTTTCGGAGCAAATGTTTTGTGATAAGGTGAGCATCGACTGTACCCATTCACTGACCCTTCCAAGTTCAAACCCTGATCGAGCTACTGCTCTCTGACGGAAGCATTGGCCCTTATATTCACTGCTAAAAGCAGACTGGACGGCACCCGCTAGTGCTACATTTCAGGGCAGCTCCTGACTGGGCAGGTGTTCATCGATTTGCTTTTGCTGTCGGCTGACAGATTCCGCTTTCGGACGTCAACGCATGTAGACTAAATCTCGCGCGGTCCCTCTTTCCTTCATTCCGTTAAGTTTGGTTGGTTGTAAGGGCGTGTTACATTTTTATTTTAGCCGTTTTGTCCAGACTATGGTCCGCAGACTGTACTAAATACGCGTACGGACGGTTCGGGCCTCGCGCCCGGACGGAGGCTAGTCCGGGCGAGGTATCTGGAACATTTTTCGTTCTCGAAATTGAGAACAGTTTTTGTGTAACAATGGATACTTGTTACTGAGGTTCGCCCAGGGGAAAAACGCGTCGAGCGACTTCGTATTGGGTAAACTCGTTTTTCATTGATAGTCTCGTCGGCCAATCAAATGACGGTTTGGTTTCACTGTCCGGCAGACGGACGGGAGTCGTTCGGACGGTTATGTACACAAAATTTTGAAAATTGTTTCATCTGCGGTACGTACAACTGCGACGTTGCATGGTGCCAGGCGAAAACTTTCGCAGTGCATTACGAAATGAGTTACCCTACAAATGTCCGGACGGCCCACGGTACGGACCATGGATGTGAGAAAATGTAACACGCCCTAAGTGCCAACTGACTGCCGGGAGAAGGAAGGTTGCGGGGAGAGGAATGGTTTGGAAGAAATGGGAATCAGGATGGAAAAGCAGCTTTGTCTTGCTTTGGCTTATCTCCCTCTCACGTTCTCCTCACATGCACATCAAGCATCATGCTTCTCGCTTTCAAACCAATGCTAGATTGGAAAAGGTAATCCACGCGCGCCGTTCTTGTCAGCGCTGCCTGCCATGACCGCAGCTTCAGCTGCACTTGCCCTCACGTCAGTTGCATACGCACGCGGAAGCAATAGCACGAGCCAAGCCACAAGCCATGGCGCATTGTAAAGCCCGGTTTCAAGCTCCCAAGCTGCAGCCTCCCTCGCTCCCCGCCGTTAGTAACCCTTCCCCTTCCGCCGTCGCTTCCCCTTGTGACGTGCCTCTTCCCCCTGCCGCCACTTCCGCCGTAAAAAACGCCGCGGAACCCGTGCTGATCGTGGACAAATGGCGGGCTGTGATTCGCTGCTTCAGTCAGGGCACTGGCGACGCGCTCGGGTGCTCCGCGGAGAATCTGGCGGACGGCGCAATTATTTACGACTTGGCGGAAGGAATGGAAGCAGCTGATTGGACGAATGCCGTGGGATCCCTGTCGCTCGGCGCGCTGTGGTCCGCCATCGAGTGAGTCGCCCTCCCCGCATCCTTCGCAATCCAGTCGTAGCGCCCATTCTTTTAAGAACCTCTGATCAGAAACACTTTCGTTTCTACGACGGGCCTGTGTAAATATCTCGTGTCGCCTTCCTATCACCTCCCCCTCGATATTACCAGATTTTGGCTTCGTCAACCCGAATTCTCTGGCCCGCTCAGTCGCCATCGCGTTCGCCTCACTCTCCAGCGACTCCGTGCAACGTCAAGCGAACGTTTCCTGCTTGCGACGCTGTCGCCCGCCGTCGGAGTGTGCTCGTCCGTCGAGGTCTTCGCGGGCGACACGGAATCCGCAGCGAACGGCCACCTCACTCTGCCGCATCTCCGCCATCTCCTCGCTTCGGCGCAACTTTCCGCTCCGCCAACCCCAACCGGCCGCGCAGAGGCGACGAAGGGTGCGTCGAGCAAAGATTCGACGCGCAGCCTACGGCCTCCGCAGGCGACGGTGCGAACCAGTGCGAGCCGAGGCGAAATACTCGATCCACCTCAATCCCCTCCCCCGACTTAAAAAAGCGGGGAACTTTCTAGCGTATCCCCCAACTCGGTCGCCGCCAAGACACGTGTTACTGTGTCGTGTACCCGCTCGTACGAGTGTGACCATACCGAGGAGCAGACGAGCCCTTTCAAGGGAAACCGTCTCATGCGTTCCATCTCCTCTCTTCTCTCGTCGCTTAATCCCAAGTCTAAGGTCCGCTCTCCACCAGAACCACCCCAGGACTTCGCTGAACAGCTCGATCCGGCGTTATCCAACCAGTCCGCTTTGTCGCCCGGTCCCTCGCCTAAGGCCGCCAAGCCGTCAAGAAGCCCGAGAAGCCCGAAATCAGTTCCCCAGAGGAGCCCTACTGCGGTGTGTGGCCGCCACGCGCCAGACCCCGCACCGCTCGCTGCCACGTCACGCGGGCGGTCCGCCGTTGCTTGCTCGCCTTCTTCTACGGCATACGGCCCAATCCCGAAGAGCTACACGAGCCCGGGGATCGTATTTAAGAATACAGTGGCCCTTCCTAAGAGCCCCTCCGCAATCGGCGCTGCCGGAAGCGGAGGACGCCGTCCGAACAGCTCCAGCGGAAATGGCGGAACCAATGGGACCCGAGTATGCAGCGATCGGCCGCCTGTGCGCGTCGGCGTGAGCGTCAGCGCCGGCCGTCACAACACGACAATGTCGCCGGCTGCAGCGGCGGCAGTTGCGCGAGTTGACGCTGGTGGCGGGAGTGGCAGGGGCGGGGGATCGAGACCCAGCAGTAGCTGCAGCCAGGGTGGTAGAACTGCGGCTGTAATTAGGTCGCCTAGAAATAACGGGAGAACCAGGGCGAGTACACCGCCGCAGTTGGGAGCGTCGAAAAGCTTTGGTGGAGTTGGCAACACTGGCAGTATGGTTTCGCTGGTCGCGCTGACGGCGGCTTGCGGCCAAGAAGGCAACTTCTCCTCAGCCCGGCCGAGTGTAACAAACGGTGGCGTGGTTTGCGTCAGAGTGAACGACGACCGGCCTGTAACGCGTACAAGCAGAAAAGGAAAACCAGTTAGGCGCAGCTCTAGTTCAAATAGCAGGATCGGTTCGCGGAACACTGTAGTTGCTCTGGCTGTGTCCGCACCAGGGGGTACTGGCGGAACTGGCGGAACTGGTGGAACTGCGGGGAAAGGCAAGGCGGGCGGGAGGCTCCTCCGCCCATCAGCTTCCGCAGGGCATGCCGAAATGGATGTTCAAGTAAAACGTTCCGCGAAAGCAGCCGCATCAACGGGGAAGCTTCTGGTTGCGGATCTAATAAAAAAGTCTCCACCAAGTTCGGTTCGTGCAAACGTATCCACTGGTTCGGGCCCTAACCTAAACCGAGAATCGAAGCACGTGGTTCGGCAGAGGCGCGGGCTGCATCCGCTATTGGTCGAAATTCCAAATTGCGCGGAGGAGAAAGAAATTAGGGTTGCGCAGACCTGCAGGGCAAGGCTAGGAGGGCTCGCGGTTGTGCGGGAGAAAGGCGAAGGGGAAGAGGGGGAAGCGGCGGAGGAGGGAACGCATGGGGAGCGTGGCTTCAGGTTGCGCGGAGGTCGGATTTCTCCCACGGGGGATTTCGGTCCGCTTACCCTTGGAAGGCTGATGATGCTCGAGAAATTCGGGTTGGTTGCGGGGGGCTACGGGGAGAGATCGGCGGAGAGACAGGCGGAGAGGAAAGCGGAAAGAACATCCGAGAGGGAGGGGGAAAGTAGGTTGAAAGGGGACGGCGGGAGGAGCAGGGGGAACTGGGCTAGGAAGACGGGTGCGCGAGGTGACGAATTTCGGGCGAATGAGAGGAAAGAGGAAGGGAGGCGTGGCAAGGTGAGGGACGAGTCAGATTTTGTCAGATATGAAAAATCATGAGAGCAGGGGAGAAGGGAAACTGGAGATCAAGAGGAGTGTGAATGGAAGGGCAGGGAGTATAGGGGGTACCGTGGAGACAGGCATAAGGGAAATGGTGAGAGGAGGAGGAGCGGAGAGTGGGAGGGAGGGGTGCGGGATAGAGAGAGGAGGGATTTCTCTGATGATGGAAGTTCAGGGCAAAGATATGGGAGGAGGCATGAGTATTCAAATGATGAGGGTTATGAGCATTCTGGTAGAGAGGAGTTTTCCAGCAGGAATGGAAACTTGAGGAGGAGAGAGGGGAGATATAACAATGTAGAGGATAGGGAGGCAAGGTATGAGAGGCATGGGAGGAGGGAGTATAACCGGGACCGAGAGGCAATGCAAGAAGGTGACAGAGATGGCCGGTGGAGGCGGAGTGGAGGGAAGGAGTGTGAGCATGAAGGACGAGGGAGGGATTTGTTCCGCAATGCGAGTGACACAGGGAGGAGGGGCGAGGGCAGGAAGATTTGGCAGTGTGAGGAGTGGAGTGGAGAGGATGATATGGTTGAAGGAGATAATGAGTATGACCAAAACACATATCGGAGCTACAGTATCGGTCGTAGGTATTTGGCACACAAAGATTCACGTGATAGGAGGTCGGGCTATAACGAGTCTTCTGATCGTGAGAGTAGTGAGGAAGAGCGAAGGAAGAGGGGTAGCAGAGTTGGAGCAGCTGGAGAAGAGAGGGACCGTGAATGGAGTGTGCATGGGAGTGAGAGTGAGAGTGAGAGTGAGAGTGAGAGTGAGAGTGAGCGTGAGTCCGGGCACGTGGAGGAGTGGAGAGAGAGGTATCGTGACAGCAGGAGAGGCATAGAGAATAATGATGATGGCTCTGATGACTCAGCTGACTCCCACGGGCTTGATGAGTCAGAAGGGTTAGGAGTGACAGACAAGGCTTTCAGGGCTCACAAGGCAGACCATGCAGTGGAGGGAGAAGAGATGGACGAGATGGATGCGGCCGAAGGGGCTGAAGGGGCAGGCGAGGCACAGGATCTTACTACCGCGTATTGTGAACATCCGGGGGAAATTGAGGAGTCAGAGGAGAGGGAAGTGGGAGGTAAGGATGAAGAAGGAGAGTGGAAGGACATAATTGGTGGTGAAGACAGCTCCAGCGCAAGACGAGGGTGGGAGGCACAACCGAGGGTTGTATTGACTAATGCGTAAAGACCAATTCTTTTCTCCATTTCGCTGATGGTACAGCCTGGTAATGCGCTAGTACGTTTTGGGCACTGTCAAATAATATGCTTTATGCTAAATAAGCTGTATAATCTAGGCGTTGGAAAAAGATTTTGAATATCACCGTACATGTCAATGTACTCGGTAGTCGTCTGAAACAAGATATGCGCTTAGCGAGCATGATACTGCAGTGGGTCTGGGTTTGGTCGCCTTGTCTCGCCTTGAGAATGTCGTTCCCCAAACCCACACCACCTGCCATCGCCTGCGAAGGTGAATTTGTGTGTTTTACCCTTCGGCTTTCTCCGCTTAGTCCTGATCACCTCATTGGTTTCGTACCTGAGATTTTGGTATATCCACGCGTCGCATACGTCGTACTCGTCGCACAGCGTCGCACAGCGTCGCACGGTGTCGCGATGAGGGAGGTCTGTGATGGTGTGTTCATCGGCAACCTGGCCGATGCCACGTCAGCACGAATGCTGGAACGAGCGCATATCACGCGCCTTCTCTCTCTCTGCCCAATGCCTCGCTCTTCTTTCGTTACTGTCACACCTTCTTCCGATCCGGAATCCACCGCCAATTCCGCTGAGATTCCCGCCGATACAAGCGCAACAGCTCGCGGGGTAGAATGTGACAGTGTGACGCGTGGCTGTGACGGGCGCGGCCGGCAACGCCTGACCGTAGATCTTCTGGACATGGACGACGCAGAACTTCTGGCGGTGCTGCCGAGCTGCCTGGCGTTCGTCGAGGAGAGCGTGCGTTGCGGGGAGAAGGTGCTCGTGCACTGCCACGCTGGCGTGTCGCGAAGGTACGTGGCGCACGTGCCACGTGGCGCTTCACCATTGATGGCAAACTAAGCTCAGTATCTGCCCCTCCCTGATATTCCCTCGCGTACCTTCCCGTCCTCCCCACTCTTTCCACCCTCCGCACCCTTCCGCCAACGCCCCCACCGCCTTCCCCATTCCCGCCAACATCCTTCCCGCATCCCCTCCATAGCCTTCCCCCATTCCCCCCGCCTTCCCCTCCCCGTCCTTTCCCTTTCCCCCTCCCCCACCCCCCTTCGTTCAGCGCAGCAGTGGTTATCGCATATCTCATGAAGCTTCACAAATTGACGGCTGAGGGTAAGCTTAAAGTAGCACCTTAGATTCATGTGTAGGTATCTGGATAAGATGTGCACCTTAAATCGTACCTGGATAAGGCGTAGTTGACGGATCATAGTTGAGGATACATGAGAGGTTTTGTTTCCGAGTAGCTGCAGATTGTTTTTGAGAATTATAAAAAACAATCTGCAATTCCTGCGCACGTACCTCGATAAGACGTAGTTGATAGGTCATAGTTGAGGATACATGAGAGATTTTGTGTCCTAGTAAGTTCTGACCCATTACCCGTCCCACCCACCTGTCCATCACACCCATTCCATCACACCCCTCTCGGATTCGCTCCATCTGCTGCAATCCAAGCACCCCCTCGCATGCCCCAACAACGGCTTTCTCTCCACCCTCTCCTTCTATCCCCCTGTCCCTCTCCTGCTGTTCATCCCATTCCACCCATCCTGTCACACCCCTTTTCAGATGCGTTTCGTCTGCTGCAATCCAAGCACCCCCTCGCATGCCCCAACAACGGCTTTCTCTCCACCCTCTCCTTCTATCCCCCTGTCCCTCTCCTGCTGTTCATCCCATCCCACCCATCCCGTCACACCCCTTTTCAGATGCGCTTCGTCTGCTGCAATCCAAGCACCCCCTCGCATGCCCCAACAACGGCTTTCTGCATCAGGTAACACAATCTTATCAACGTCACTAGCACGCGATAAGTGGCCGGTGATGAGTAGCAGGCAATGAGCGACAGGTAATGGGTGGCAGAAAATGAGTGGCAGGTGATTAAAGGCAGGGAATGGCAGCACATGATGAGCTACAGATTAACGCCATGATGATGGCAGCTCATTGCCTGAGCTGTAACTTCGTCATGTTCGTTCAACACCCCTTTCCCTTGCTTTCTCCCCTAATTTCCCCCATTCTCACCTCAGCTTCGGATTTTCCACAGCATGGGGTGGGAAGTCAACCCCCACCACTCCGACTACTCGCGCTTCAAGCTGCAGCTCATGGCCCGCCGAATCACTGGCACAATGCATCAGGGCGTGTCCATTGGGGCCATTAACGGAGCTGCTAGTAACGGAGCTGTCAGTAACGGGGATGCTCAGTTGCGGGGTGGAGTGGAGGGTGCAGGAGCAGCAGAAGGATCCGCTGCAGCAACAGGAGAAGGAACAGTAGGAGCAGGAGCAGGAGCAGGAGCAGGAGCAGGAGCAGGAGCAGGAGCAGGGGCAGGAGCAGGGGCAGGAGCAGGGGCAGGAGCAGGAGCAGGGGCAGGAGCAGGAGCAGGGGCAGGAGCAGGAGCAGGAGCAGGGGCAGGGGCAGGGGCAGCAGCAGCAGCACCAGTAGGAGGAGGAGCAGGAGCAGCAGGGGCAACAGGAACAGGAGCAGCAGCAGGAGCAGCAGCAGGGGCATCGAAGGAAGCAGCGAGGTCTCCAGAGGTGTACCGCTGCCGAAAGTGCCGACAGGTTGTAGCAGCAGCAGCCAATGTGCTCCCTCATTCCCCCACTGCTGCTGCTGCTGGTGGTGCTGCTGCTGCTGCTGCTGCTGGGACTGGTGGTAGAGGAGGAGGGGGGAGGTTTCGTGGGAAGGGCAAGGATTGGGGGAATGGGGCGGAACGGGGATGCACGTCTGTGTTTGTGGAGCCACTCAAATGGATGGGCGATGGTGAGCATGGGTGGGAGGCGGTGAGGTGGGATGAGTATCTGTGGGCAGTGGTGGATGAGATTGATGCTCCAAATTCGTCTCCTCTTTCTTTCTTACACTCTTCTTAAACTTTCTCTTCCACTCAGTCTTAGCTGCTTCAACCGGTTAAAACTGTAGTGCAGGTTCAAGAAACGTGTCTCACTGCCTTGTCTCCTACTATCTTCCTTGCGCCCGCCAAATGACTTTTGAGTCGACTCAAAAGTCTAAACGTGTCTCACTGCCTTGTCTCCTACTATCTTCCTTGCGCCCGCCAAATCATCAACTCGCGCCTGTCTTGCCTTCTATCATACGTTCATGTCATGACCCCACGCAATGCTGGTTTTGGAGAATTCTCAAAAACCAGCTCAAACCATCAACTCGCGCCCGTCTTGTCTTCTAACATACGTTCATGACCCCACGCAATGCAAAGCGGGCAGGTGGAGGGAAAGCTGTCATGTGCGCAGTGCTCCACCCGCCTTGGCTGCTTCAACTGGTCGGGCTCACAGTGCAGCTGTGGGGAGGGGTTCACACGATCTTACCATCCATTTCCATCCACTCCCATCCCTCCATCTCTCTCTCAACCCATGCAGTGCAGAGTGGGCAGGTGGAGGGCAAGCTGTCATGCGCCCAGTGCTCCACTCGCCTGGGCTACTTCAACTGGTCGGGAGCTCAGTGCAGCTGTGGGGAATGGGGAGTGGGTCCCATCCCGCCACCACACCAGCAGCTAATACCTCACTCCTTTCCACCCTCCATGTCTCTCTCAACCCATGCAGTGCAGAGTGGGCAGGTGGAGGGCAAGCTGTCATGTGCCCAGTGCTCCACTCGCCTGGGCTACTTCAACTGGTCGGGAGCTCAATGCAGCTGTGGCGAGTGGGTCACTCCAGCCTTCCAACTGCATAAGAAGTGTGTGGATGAGTCGTGGCAGTGACTATAATGAGAGTGAAGTGGAGTCAGCTTTAAGGGTGTGTGGATGAGTCGTGGCAGTGACTATAATGAGAGTGAAGTGGAGTCAGCTTTAAGGGTGTGTGGAGGAGCACAGTGTTGTGCAGTTGTGGGGAGTGGGTCACTCTGTCCTTCCACCTGCATAAGAATGCGTGGACGAATCATGGCAATGAATACAATGAGAGTGCAGAACAATACTAGTAGGAGCTTTTGCAGTGGAGTCAGCTTTCAGTGCGGCTTTCAGAGGAGCACAGTGCAGCGCAGCTGTGGCGAGTGGGATCACTCCAGCCTCCCAGCTGCATAATAATTTTGTGGATGAGCCATGGCAATGAGATAATGACACTTCGCTCATCAGGCTGCAAAGTGCGCTTCAGTTTCAAGAGAGCAGAGCAGCTAGTTGTGAGCAGTGGGTGTGTCTCTCTGGAGTCCGGCCTTCCAGCTACGCAAGTGTGGACAAATTATGGCAATGATGACAATCTAGTGTGATTTGAAAGCTCTATTGCAGGCCCCTGTCAGAGCAGCCTGCTGTGTTGAATTGAAAGAGTTTTCAAATTGACTCTTGAGGGCAGCTAAAATTCACGTACATTACATCCCGATTCCCCCACCACCCGTAAAAGCTTCTTGTAGTGAAAATATTATGGTTAATGGTAACAGCCGTTACACATGGAAAGGTTGAGAGGCTATATACAGGAAGCATCCCATCCCATCCCAGGTAGGAGAGACAGCTAGGTAGGTGACTACTGCTGTCTACTACTGCATGTGACTCCGCAATGTGACATCTTCTAATGCGGGTCAACTACATAAGTAGATTGCAAGCTAGCCTATCACATGCTTTTAGAGCATGATTCGAACTCCACTGTAGGCTCCTACTTGGGCAATCTTGTGCCGGCGGGAACTTCCCGAAAATGGCAAGTGCCGAAAGTCACAAAAAAGTGCTCGAAATGTGACTTTTATGTGACAGCAAGTCCGGCGTTTTTTAGTCATGGTTGAAAGTACCGGCCACGATGTTCCCTGCGTTGTCACGGAAATGTCACGTAAATGTGACATAATGTCACACAGAATGTCACAGTAGAGTGTCTGGTGAAGCGACTTTCTCGTCACTTTTATGTAACCTTGCCACGTGTCACGTATGCCAAGATATTTTGCCACGTGTCATTGTCGTTGATTGGTGGATATGAACCAATCAAACCTCGGGGACGTGGGTGCAGAAATGTTTTATGATTGGGTGGCGATTATTATCGAGCGACGCAGCATCGCCCATTTCCGTACGCGGAAATTTCAGAATACAGCAGCTGGCATTTCGAATGGGCTCCTTTAGTCACATCACATGCGCAACATACAAGTTACTACACAGATGTACGAACTAAAGCTACCGAAAGATGTGCGAACTAAAGCCACTGCGCAGATGTACGAACTGAAGCCACTGCGCAGATGTACGAACTGAAGCCACTGCGCAGATGTACGAACTAAAGCCACTGCGCAGATGTACGATTGGCGAGCAACTGCGCAAATGTACGAACGTGTAGCCCGGAACACCGTGGCGTGGCTACGAAAACATCTTGCCAGTATGGTCGTTCGGAACTGTCAAACCTGCAAAAAAGAAGAAAGCTAATACAGAACAAAATGGAACGTGATGAATCTGCACACAAAAACATCACCAGTTATGTGAGTGATGAAACCCGCAAGACAATCATAGCAATAGATCGTGAGTCTCAGGAAACATGGGGCGGAGCGTTCGAGGGGCTAGTGCAACGGTACCTATGTTTTAACACCAAAAATAGCAGGGATGACGTCACGACAGATCCACATGCACACACACAAGCCAACGTCATGATGCTCTGTCGGTCGCAAAATCGCACAGTCAGCATCAAAGCTTGCCTGAATGACAAAAGCGAAGTACGGAACGGTCGAACTGGAATATGCGCCACTGCACTTTTGTCGCTGTTTTTCGAACATGCTGCACAAAGTAGCATGACATGCTCCTTGGTGGTGCTGGCTGCAGTCGCACTGCACCTTGCGTTCTGCCACAAAGAGATAAACAAAAGCAATATGAAGAAGAGAGAGAATCGAGACCATAGGAAACAAAGGGCTACGCAGTCGCGTAGGCCATCTGCCACGCGTTAAAGAGAAGGTGTTTGAGCCAGGCAACACACTGGGCACTGACCAGTACAGTTGACCCCACCGGTTGCCTGGGTGGCGGTTTAACATCGTTATGCTTGCGGCGTTGAAGCGCTGTGATCTGCCACGCGGGGCACCAGAGGGGAGTGGCATGTTGGCAAGTGGGGGGGCGGATGGGGAGAGTAGAGAGAGAATGAGGTATGCGGTTCCAAGTAGCTTCTCTAATGAAAAAAAACACGTGGTGGGGGTTGAACAACGATAGGTATAAACACACCGCCTATGGAGAGGTAAGCTGTAGTGTGTAAGCCTAGAGCATGAAGGTAGAGCACAGTTGGCTGAGTGTGCTAGATGGGTGTGACAAATAGGAGGCCACACAAACAAGGTTTGAACAAACTGTGAGATGCAGGGAGCATTTGTATGGGAAAGTGAAGGTTGATGGGGGTTTGGGTGATCCACGGTCCGGTTCGGTGTGAATAGTGGGAGGATAAGGGAAGGTGAAAGTTTTGTTTAGGTGCACTCCAACGATTGGCTCAAATGATTCTTGAGGCTCGGCTTAGACGGTTCAGGAAGGTTGGGAAAGATGGGGGTTTAAAAGGTGTGACGTGGAACGTTCGCGAAACCTTGATGCGACGCACATTTCCCTAGAGTAGCCTTGATTGGTTTGCACACGCCACTGTCGAGTCTGACGTGTAGCATCGAAGCGCAAAAATCTTCGTTTTGTTTTTTACGACCGTCACGAAGTAGTTTCACCGTCTGTTATTTGTTTCGCTAGTGTTCGGGTTGCTTCGCATGCCTCGTGATCACTGCATTCAAGTTGGTTTGTTTTTCTCATTCAGCAATACACAGGTAAACCGCCTTCAAACGCTTTCAACCACTGTCGTAATTCTCGTGCGAAACCAGGCCATCTACTTCCTCGCCAATTCCGTGGACGCATTTGCGACTAACAGCTTCTAGTCACTGGGAAGTTACAACAGCGTGACTTTTTTGTCACGTTTGCGGTGTACGTTAATGTGACATTTCCGTCACCATCCCGGCTGGGACTTTTTGTATGACGTCGTGACTTTCTGGGAGCTTTTTGGTGGAAAAACCTACGGGGCCCTGAAATTTGGATCAGCCTTTTTCGCGATGAATTACGACTTTGTCCACGCCGTAAGCGATGAAGTAGGGCCCTGCGTAGATCCTCGTGATCTTGATCGTCGTCCACGTAGCGGCAGGCGCTTTCGGACCCCTGGCGAACGCCACGACGTTCGCACCTTTCGCCGAGATCTTGTAAAGAGCCTGCTTTAACTGAGTACGAAGCGGCTGCGCCTGCTTGAATGTCCTGAAATTCGGAACGGTGTATTTTTTTTGCGATGATATGGTACGCGGTGATGTTATAAATGGTGGGGATGTTGCTCTTTGTAGAGGGGATCTTCTTAGCGAGGGCTTCGGCTTCCGTATTGCTGGGGAGGAGGATGGTGGCGTCCGCGAGGGCTGAGAAGTCGTATTTCGAGTTGAGCGCGAGGCCGATGTACTTGTTGATGTCCTTGGCGTATTTCGCATACTGCGGGTAACGCTTCGTGATGGTGGTCGCCATATTATTCAGCTCCGATTTAAGCTGTGCCTTGGTTGGTTTGGCCTTGGGCTTCGCTTGCGCGTTCGCGCCAGCCACGGAGAGGGCGATGCAGATGAGCCCGAGAATGGCGAAATTGCGTGAACTACCACTAGCCATTGGCTGCACGAGCTAATCAACCTTTGGGAAGAGGAGTAAGGCCTGCAAACTGAAAATCAAGCGTGGCTGCAATGACGATTCGGCGAAGGTCGACGTTCGCTGATAGATTAGTTTCAGAAATCTGCTAATGGAGAGGTGCGAATATGCTGCTGCTTCTGAAATTTGTTGATGAAATTGCTGGAAATGCTGCTGCTTGAGGAAAATGTGGGACGAGTGAAAGGCTGTGATGGAAATTGGCTTGATGGGGAGGAATTTGTAAGCAAAGTGTGGGGAATAGGGTTACCAGAAACCAGCGTGAAATGTTGATCTCGCGACGCGAAGCTGCAAACCCTCGGCAGCGCGGTTCGACGAAACGCGCTAGCGACAGTGACAGTGAAATGCCTCCCTAGTTCGGCGGAGGGATGCTGCGAGCGTGGGGTAGCCGAGGCGGTGAGGTAGCAGGGATGGAGAGATGCAAGGCGACAAAACGGTGCTGGGCGGTGACGAAAGTCAGGCGAAGGAGGAGATGACCTTCGCTGTGCTGGATTTCGCAGCGGCTGTCGGCGGAGTCGCCTAAGTGCAGATTGGGATTTGCAAATTCGCAGCGAATTGTGTTACACAATAGGTGTTGGCGAAAATAATTAGTGACTGCAAATGGCTGTTCTTGTTTGGAACATTAGTATCTCTTTGAAACTGCTCCACAATGCGCAATCCACAATGCGCCTGCCTGCAGAATGCCCCTCACCTTGCATGTGCGAAGAATGGACAAGAACAGTAGTGGATCACAAGCAGCGAGCCCTTCACTTTACAGCATCCAGTCCCGACAACAGCAGCCACTGCCATCCCTTCCCCTACTTGGTGCTATCCCACCCTGCCATGTCTTCACCACCTGTTGCTGCCAACTGCAAGAATCTGGAAACCAGAAGCACCACTCTCAACCCATCTGTGCCTGCAGCTATTTGGCAAGCTTGAGAGCAGCCAAGCCCCCCCTCTCTCCCCCCCCCCCCCCCCCCCCCCCCCCCCCCCCCCCCCCCCCCCCCCCCCCCCCCCCCCCCCCCCCCCCCCCCCCCCCCCCCCTCCGTGTCTCCACCACCTGCAGCTGAACCGACTGCAACCCCCTAGAACCCATCGGCATCGCACTCAACCCATCTGTGCCTGCAGCTGTTTGGCCAGCTTGAGAGCAGCCAAGGCCCCCGCCATGTCTCCAGCCCGCTTCAGCTCAACCGCCCTCCTCTTCTGCTCCATCACCTGCTGCTGCAGCCTGCACCAACTGCAACTCCCTGAAACCCACCAGCACCGCACTCAACCGATCTGCGCCTGCAACTGTTTGGCCAGCTTGAGAGCAGCCAACGCCCCCGCCGTGTCTCCAGCCCGCTTCAACTCAACTGCCCTCCTCTTCTGCTCCATCACCTGCTGCTGCAGCGACTGCGCTTCACCCCCACTCCCACCCTTACCCCCACCCCCACTCCCACTCCCGCTTCCACTCACACTCACACTGACACCACCAACACCGATACCACCACCCGAAGCAGAAGCCACAACTGGTTTGGCCGGAGCAGGTTTGGCTGGAGCAGGTTTGACCGGAGCAGGTTTGGCCGAAGCAGGCTGGCTGGTCTGGCGGCCACCCGGGGCAGGTCCGGCGAGTCCGAGGCTACGGAGGTTCGCCATGAGTGCATCGTCAAATATACCCAGATCATCATCCTCATCATCATCCTCTAGACCAAAGGACATGAATGGAGGAGGAGGGGGAGGAGCGGGTCGTCTCTGGGGCGCTGCAGGTTTTGAAGGTTTGGGAACAGCAGCAGTAGCAGCAGCAGCAGAAGCAGCAGCAGCAGGAGGAGGAGCAGCAGCAGCAGCAGCAGCAGGAGCAGCAGAAGCAGCAGCAGCAGCAGCACCAGTGCTACGGCCAGTGTTACAACTGAAACCACTGTTACTGCTGATGTTACCACTGTTACCACCGCTGCCAGCACCTGTCTCTGCCAGCTGTTTCTCGAGCGCCTTGGCCTTCTTGAGCTCAGATAACGCCTCCCCCAGCTTGCCCTCCCTCTTGAAAGCCACCGCCCTTCTCCTGCACGCCAGCAATTCTGCCTCCATCTCCTCCCTGCTGCTCTCCCTCTCTTCCCCCATGCCCTCCCCTCCCTCCTTGCTCCCTTCTTCTCGTGCGATTCCAGTGGCAGCAACACCCGCTGTCTCTGCTGTTCCTCCTGCTGCTTCTGCTGTTCCTCCTGCTGCTTCTGCTGGTGCTGCTGCTGATGCTGCGGAGACAGGGAATGAATCTATTGCAGCCAAATTAACAGCACCAGCCACATTAACTGCATCAGCCACATCAGCTGCATGGACTGCAAACGGAGTTACTTTGCAGCTTTGCAATGTTTCTATCAGCAGCTCTTGTTCTTTCTGCTGCGGTTGCTGCTGTTCCTGATACTGCTGCTGCTGCTCCTGCTGCTGCTGCTGCTGCTGCTGCTGCTTTTGTTGCAACTGCATGGCAGCGATCAAAGCAGCAACAGCAGGCGCCATGCTAGTAGCAATCACCGCCGCACCCAACTGGCTTGTGTCTGCATCAGCAGAAGCAACAGCAGACGCACCACCACCACCGCTACCATCATCATCAGCAGCAGCAGCAGCAGCAGCAGCATTAGCACCACCGCTGTCATCGCCAGTACTTCTGACGTCACCACCAACTACCTCCCTCCTCTCCTCGCAGTTCCCAGCCTTCCCTTCCTCCGTCTTCTCTTCCCGAAGCTCTTCACTCCGAGCCTGTTCCGCCCGAACCTGGTCTGCCCGGGCCTGCAGCAAATTGGCTCGTTTCAACTGATCCAAGGCCTCTCCGAGCCTCCCTTCCCGCTTCAGCCCCACAGCCGCCAGCTTGCACTCCCGCGCCGCCGCCTCAAGTTCCTCGGCAGTTTCTGGCTCCTGGGCGGCAGGGCTTGTCTCCACCTTCTCTTCCCTCTGTTCACCTTCCAAACCTTCTCCCTTTCCATCTGCCCTGTCTCCTCCTCTTCTTCCATCCCCCCTGCCTCCTGCCGCCTCCTCCTTTTCGTGCAATGCCTGTGCTGCTTCCGCCTCTCCCGCCTCCCCCTCTTCCTTTGTTGCTTGGCTTGCTTCTTCTCCCACCCACCCAGCAGCAGCCAGAGCAGCAAGCATGTCCGGATCATCCTCCTCCGCATCACCATCCCCATCAAAATCATCATCATCATCATCACCGCTCATAAGGATTGCGCGGATTCCCTCATCCATATCTGCTAATGCTGCCGGCACTGCTGCTGCTGCTGCCGATGCCCCTGCTGCTGCCGGTGCTCCTGCTGCTGCTGCTGCTGCTGCTGCTGCTGCTTCTGCTGCTGCCGGTGCTGCTGCTGCCGGTGCTCCTGTTGCAGCCGCCTTTGCTTCCTCAGATTTTTCATTCCGAGCCTGATCCACCCGAGCCTGTTCTACCCCAGTCTGTTCCGCCCGAGCCTGGTCAGCCCGAGCCTGCAGCTCTTTGGCTCGTTTCAGCTGATCCAAGGCTTCTCCGAGCCTCCCATCCCGCTTCAGCCCCACAGCAGCCAGCTTGCACTCCCGCGCCGCCGCCTCAAGTTCCTCGGCAGTTTCTGGCTCCTGGGCGACAGGGCTTGTCTCCACCTTCTCTTCCTCCTTTTCACTAGTCAAATCTTTTCCTTTTCCGTCCGTCCTCTCTCCTTCTTCACGTAATGCCTCAGCTGCTTTCTCCTTTGCCACCTCCTTCCCTTCTTTCTCCTCTGCTCTGCTCGGCTCTTCTCTCTGCTCTGCCTTGCTCGATTCTTCTCTCACCCACCCAGCAGCAGCGAGAGCAGCAAGCATGTCCGGATCATCCTCATCACCATCACCACCACCATCGCCCACATCAATATCCCCATCATCCCCATCATCATCATCACCGCTCATCAGGATGGCTCGAATTCGCTCATCCATATCCGCCAATGCTGCCGGTGGTGCAGCTGGTGGTGCTGGTGCTGCTCCTGTCGGTGCTGCTGCTGCTGCTACCGGTGGTGTCGGTGCTGCTGCTGCTGTTGGCGCTGCTCCTGGGGCCCTTGATGCTGCTGCCACTGAAACCGCAGTTCCTGCCACCCCTGCTGTTTCTGTTGCTCTTGCTGCTGCAGCTGCAGCAGAAGCAGCACCATGCCCCATAGAAGAGTCACGGCCCATGGAAACCCCGCCTGCGCCCAGCATAATAGCCGCCTCTATCCTCGCCTCCAGCCCCTTGGCGCGCCTTAAAGCCTCCATCGCCTCTCCCATCCGCCCCTCCCTCTTAAAGCCCACCGCTTTCCGCTTCCAATCCAACGCCTCTGCTTGCATCGCGGCTATATCCACCTCCTCTTCTTCCTCCTCCCCCCCTCCTTTCTCTCCTCCTCCTCCCTCTCCCTCCTCCCCTTCCTCATCTGACTCCCACCCGAGTGCCCTCAGTTCATCCATACACTCCCCATCGTCAATAGCACCTCCCATATAATCACCCCCTCCCCTCCCTCCCCTCCTCGCCCCTCCAATCTCAACCCCATCTATACCCCCACCATCTCCCTCCCCCTCCTCGTCCTCCTCGTCACCTATATCAGCAATTAAAGACATAATTTGAGCCAAGTCTAGGTCCGCTCCTCCGCCTCTTCCGCCCATACCTCCGCCACCTCTCCCCATTCCCCCCATCCTTAAATCCGTCTCTTCCACTAGTGCCACGTCATCGACACTTGTCAGCCCGAGACTGGCTAGAAGCCGCTTCTCCTCGTCATCATGTCCTCCCTCCGTGCCGTCCGCTAGGTTCAATAAGAACGAGCCGTCTTCTATTTCTTTCTCGAGCTTCTTAGCTTTTCTTAGCTCCGCCAACGCCTCCTGAACCTGCCCCTGTCCCTTAAGTTGCCGCGCCTTGCGCTTTAAGTCCAATACTTGCGCTTCCGCTGCTTCGCGCGCCGCGCTCACCTCGTCCTGCTCCGCCGCCGCCCCGTCCACGTCATCAAGTCCGGCCAAAAGCCCCCCCCCGCCAGCTCCCCCCGCTGGTTCCGCCCATCCCAGCTCACGGAGTTGCGCCATCATCTCCCCATCGTCGTCCACCCCCGCGTTCAGCCGCGCTAACCCCTTCCGCTCCGCCTTCACGCCTTCCGCCGCGGCGCCCTTCCGCTCCCCCGCTGCTCTTGCGCCAGCAGCTCCGGATCTACCCACTCCGCCCGCTTTCCCCGTATCCGCGGATCGGACCTCCGGTGCCGCTTCACGGGATCTCGCTGCCGCTACGCGTTTCCCTCCCGTCCCGCGCGCGCCAGCGGCCACGCCAAGCGCGTTTCCGCGCGCCATGGCTTCCCGCGCTATCTCTTCCGCCTCCCGGGACGCGCCCGCAAGCGCGGCGGCGGTTGCGGCGGAGTCATCCTTGTCCTTGGCGCGCTTCTCCAGCTCGCGCGCCGCTTTCAGCGCCTTCTGCGCGCCCGCGTACAACCCCGCCTCGCGCATGGCGGAAGCTTTGGCGCGCTGCTCCTTGGCCTGCGCGCGCAAAGTCTCCGCGGTGACCCCATCATCGACCGCAATACCTAATTCGCCTAAGACGCTACCGACATCGGTTCCATCCGAAGTGCCTTCTGCTCCCGGTGCCACGTCAGCACCCGCGGTTCGCGGTTTCTTGGTAGCGGCTGCAGGTCGATTGTTCGGGTTCTTTTTGGGCGGCGTCTTGTCCTCATTCCGCGGCCGGCCGAAGAAACCGAACATGGCTGCCCTTGAAATCTGAGAATTCCGAAAGGAGCTGGCGTCGAGCACGGAGTGGTTCGACCAATGGAACAAGCACACGCGCTTGTAGAAGGCTCTTAGGAGGTTCTTAGACCTGGAATGCTGCGCTAGCTCTCTGACAGACTGTGAATCTCGTACCACCTCTTACCTGCTCTGAATTCCAAGTTCTGAAGGCTCTTGGCCTTGGATCTAGATTCTAGGTGTGGTTGGAAAAAGGTGCAACTTTCTATAGCGAGGTTTTCGATAAATGCTACTTTGGAACCTGATAATAGTGAAAAATTATCATCAATTGGACGGGCTGTACGCAGTATCGAGTCATCGTTTCTAGAGCTACGAAGGTTCTGGGTGCGTGGCCTTGAAGAAATCAGAGCAGGGTACTAGACGGGCTTTTGCCTGGCTTAGCTTTGCGACATGGTTTATGATGGAATCTAGGCTCCTGAATTCCCAAGGGAAGCCATAACTTGTCCTCCGAGATTAGTCCAGTCCAATCTGGTGATGCTGTTGCGCGGCATGTATAGCGTTGCTTAGTGTCATTACCGTTCACAGATTTACACTTCAACCTGAACATACGCGTCCGTCAGTATCGAGACCATACACGCCAAAATCTACGCTTCAATCAGCACATTAGCGTTGGTGCGACTCACTAGTTATTCATATCCCGGCCATTGGTCACGAGTCTTGGTTAAATTTCGCGATCCTGCTACTAGTTTCGGGTATCGTTGCACGTAGCTGCTGCGAGGAAACGCCTATTGAAGCTTTCCAACGAACTTAGCGGTCATTATCTTCGACGCATAGTAACAGAGCCGCCATCCTGAAACCCGTTACTAGTCAGCCGTTTACGAGTATATTTACCCAGCCCCTAGTCTGCAACGCCGATTAACTCAGCCATGTCGCAGCTGTATCCGCGGCTCCAGGTCTCGTCCGAGGAGCTCGCGGCGCTCCAGTACCATCCGAAGCGCATCCGGAATATCTGCGTCCTCGCGCACGTGGATCACGGAAAGACCACGCTGTCAGACCACTTAATCGCTAGCAACGGTCTAATCCACCCGAGGCTCGTCGGAAAGCTTAGGTTCTTAGACTGGCGGGAAGATGAGCAGCGGCGCGGGGTTACCATGAAAAGCTCGTCGATTGCGCTGCTGTTTAAACGGCACGCCGCGTCGCCTGGTGGAACGACGGGGGGGAAGGCGCAGCAAGCGGAGGGCGGAGGGGAAGGGGGGAAAGGGGGAGGCGTGGGGGAGGGCGGAAAGACAGCGGTGCAGGATGGTTTGGATGATAAATATCTGATCAACCTCATTGATTCCCCTGGACACATTGACTTCTGCAGGTAACGATCTTGCTTATAAAGGAAAAAAGGACGATTACAGCACATAGACGCACGCAGTGAGACTCTTTGAGTCAGCGCTTAACGACACAAACCGTGCTCTCCTGATGTTTCAGCCCCCATCTCCCATGCACTTCCCACGCTTTTGTGCAGTGCACTTATTGTGGCCGTTGTTGCCACGAGGTATCAACAGCAGCGCGTGTGTCGGACGGAGCAGTGGTGCTGGTGGATGCAGTCGAGGGGTGCACATACAGACGCACGCCGTGAGACACACTCCCAGCTCTCACTCTCTCCTCTCCCTCCTATCTCCCATCTCCCATTCTCCTCCACACATTCTGCTGCCCTGTGCAAGCACAAAGAGGTGTCAACAGCAGCGTGTGTGTTGGATGGAGCAGTGGTGCTGGTGGATGCAGTAGAGGAGGATGCAGCGGAGGGGGTGCACATTCATTTCAGACGCACGCTGTGAGAAGCACGCCGTGCTCTCACTCACTCCTCTCCCTCCCGTCTCCCACACCTTCCCCACAGTGAGGTGTCAACAGCAGTGCGTGTGTCGGACGGAGCAGTGGTAATAGTGGATGCAGTGGAGGGGGTGCACATTCAGACGCACGCCCTGCTCTCACTCTCTCCCTATCATTGACCATTTCCCTCCCACTTCTGCTGAACAGCGAGGTGTCGACAGCAGCGCGTGTGTCGGACGGGGCAGTGGTGCTGGTGGATGCAGTGGAGGGGGTGCACATTCAGACGCACGCCGTTCTCAGACAGGCCTGCCTGGAGCGCCTGCAGCCCGTACTCGTTATAAACAAGATGGACAGGCTTATAACGGAGCTCATGCTCACTCCTGCGGAGGCTTATGAACGGCTCAAGGTGGGTGAGAGGCGCAGTGTTTGTTTGTTTGATTTATTATTATTATTATTATGATTTTTACCTATACTGACAAGAGTTTCAAAGCCCGTGCGGTGACATGCATGTATTGTCTCTGCGCTCCTTCATCGCTCCACATTTACGTCCGCCAGCCCCTGATATTCCCTGCACCTCATGCTCTTTGAACCTTAAACCTGAAACCTTGAACCCTGAACCACCAAGTCTCTCACCCCTGTGACGTCAGCCCCTCTATACCTCTTTCCCACAATAAACCAACCACCCCACATCACTCCCCACCCAACCCCCGTCCCTCTCGCATCTGGCCCCCGCACCTCCCTCCCCCCAACCCCCACCCCACACATCCTCGCCCCCGTCCCCCTCACATCTTCTCACCACACCCTCCCGCCAACCCCCTCCTCCACTCCCCCCTTGCGGGGCATACTCACGGAGGTCAACAACATCATCCACACGTTAATTGCGCGCCAACCTACACTCTGCTATTTCCTCTCCTCTGCTCCCTTTCCCCCCCGACCCGACCCCCCTCTGTCCCCCAAACCCTCTCTTTACCCCCCCCCCCTTTGCAGGGCATAATCACGGAGGTCAACAACATCATCCACGCATTCCGCTCCGAGAAATACATGTCCCACGTGGACTCCCTCTCCCTGCCAGCTGGCGCCACGTCAGCAGGCCATCCAGCTGGCACCGACGGGGAAACAAGCGGGGGAGGAGCAGGAGAAAGGGAAGGGGGAGGGGCGGGGTCAGGTGTGGCCGGGGAAGGGGAAGAGGAGGAGGATGAGGAGGATGTGTTTTCACCGGACAAGGGGAATGTGGCGTTTGCAAGTGCGGTGGATGGGTGGGCTTTAAGGGTGAACGACTTCGCAGCCATGTATGCGAGAAAGCTGGGCGCGTCTGAAAATGCCCTCATGAAGGCTCTGTGGGGCGACTGGTGAGTCATCGAGGGGCATAGGAATCAACCCTGGGGGGGCTTTAAGGGAGAGAACTTGGCGCGTCTGAAAGTGCCCTCTGGAAGGTTCTCTTGGGTGACTGGTAAGGCTGGTTTGGTGCATTGGAATCACCGCTTGGAACAATGGGTGGGCTAAGGGTGAATTTTTTTGCTTCATGTATGTCATATGCGACACCAATCTAGCAACACTGATTAATCGCCTGTTCGCGCGCTCTCGCCGTTGCAACCTCCTGCCCCATTGCTTTGCGCGTTTATCCTCCGCCCGCGATTACTGCACAGGTACTACATCCCCAAGACCAAGAAGATCCTGAAAAAGAAAGCAGCACAGGCGGCAGTGGGCGGCGCATCTTCGTCTGCTGCCGCCCGGCTGCGGCCAATGTTTGTCCAGTTTGTGCTGGAGCCCGTGTGGCAGATCTATGAAGCTGCCGCCCAGGGAAGCAACAGTAGCAGTGGCAGTAGTAGTAATGCAGAGGATGGCAGCAAATCCAATCCGATTCTTGAGAAAATCATATCTTCACTGGGTCTGTCCGTGCCGCCCAAGGATCTCCAGCACAAGGATCCGCGCACCGTCGCCCAATCAGTGATCGCCAGGTGGCTGCCTCTCGCGCCCTGTATTCTCTCCATGGTGGTTGACTGCCTTCCCGACCCAGTCGCCGCCCAGAAAGACAGGCTCGGGTGCTACCTGCCGAACCGGCCTGCCGTACCTGCTGGTTTGGCAGACAGGTCTGGGAAAGCGGGAGACGGGGAGGAGGGAGGGGAGGAGTGGGTGTTGCGACAGGTGGCGTCGGTTGATAGGGCGGTGGAGACGTGTGATTCGAGTGAAGATGCTCCGTGTGTGGTGTTTGTGTCTAAGATGTTTGCCGTGCCGTTTGAAATGCTGCCCAGGGAGGAGCAGCGGGCAGAAGAGGATGCAGCTGCAGCAGCAGCAGCAGCAGCAGGAGGGGGAGGAGCGGGAGGAGGAGGGGGGATGGGAGGAGATTTAGCTGCAGTAGACGATTCAGGGGGGTCGGTGCGTGATCGAGACTTCTTCTTTGCGTTTGCCCGCGTTTTCTGCGGGCGGCTGCGGGCGGGGCAGCGCGTCTTTGTCCTTTCCCCTCTGTACGACCCGTGCCGCCCAGCAACGTGGGCCAGGCACAGACAAGAGGCGCAAGTGGGCGCACTGTTCATGATGATGGGGCAGGGATTGCAGCCAATCAGCAGCGTGCCAGCTGGCAACTGTGTGGCGATCAAGGGATTAGAGGCGTGCATTCTCAAGAGTGCGACTGTGTCTTCAACTCCCTACTGCCAGCCATTTGCGTCCATGGTGTTCCAGGTGAGGCATTATAAGGGCAGAGGGCATGGGTCACCGGGCGAGAGTGGGAAAGGGGAAAAGAGAGTCGGGGAAAGGGGAACAAGTGAAGAGGGCTTTTTGAACGTGGCATGGCTTTTTGAACGTGGCATGGCTTTTTGAACGTGGCATGGCTTTTTGAATGTGACATGGCTTTTTGAACGTGGCATGGCTTTTTGAACGTGACATGGCTTTTTGAACGTGGCATGGCTTTTTGAACGTGGCATGGCTTTTTGAACGTGGCATGGCTTTTTGAACGTGGCATGGCTTTTTGAACGTGGCATGGCTTTTTGAACGTGGCATGGCTTTTTGAACGTGGCATGGCTTTTTGAACGTGGCATGGCTTTTTGAACGTGGCATGGCTTTTTGAACGTGGCATGGCTTTTTGAACGTGGCATGGCTTTTTGAACGTGGCATGGCTTTTTGAACGTGGCATGGCTTTTTGAACGTGGCATGGCTTTTTGAACGTGGCATGGCTTTTTGAACGTGGCATGGCTTTTTGAAGAGTGCTACAGTGGCCTCGACTCCCTACCGCCAGTCGCTTGCCTCCATGGTGTTCCATTCCAGGTGAGCATGCGTGTGGGGAAGGGAAGGTGGGGGCGGCGGGAGAGGTGCATCTGGAGCGATGCATCAAGGACCTGCAGGAGCACACCTCACTCGTCTCAAGGAGCACACCTCACTCATGTCACTTTTGAGAATTCTCAAAAGTGATTCCCAGGAGCACACCTCACTCGTCTCAACAATCACGATTCTCGCATTCCACTCTTCCCTCCCTCCCTTACCCCCTCCCCTCCCCTTCCCCAGGCTGCCCCTATAGTGCGAGTAGCCATTGAGCCAGAGACGACTTTTGAGGCGCCTCAAAAGTAGCCATTGAGCGAGAGGATCCCCGCCATCTCCCCTTGCCCGCCCGGGGTCTCCGCCTGCTCAACCGTGCCAACAACCTCTTGGTGGAGGTGGTGTGGTATTGGCTCGCTCCGGCGAGCATGTGGTGGGGGCGGCGGCGGGCGAGGTGCACCTGGAGCGATGCATCAAGGAAATGCAGGAATGCCCTTCACTCACTCGTTTCACAAACCCCACTCCACTCTACTCCACTCCCCCTTCCCCCCAGGCTGCTCCCATTGTACGAGTAGCAATCGAACCATACGATCCTCGCCACCTGCCTCTGCTCGCCCGGGGTCTCCGCCTGCTCAACCGTGCCGACCCCTTTGTGGAAGTCGTCTTGGCTCGCTTGGGGGAGCACCTGGTAGGAGCAGTGGGGGAGGTGCACCTGGAGCGATGCATCAAGGACCTGCAGGAGAGAGATTCATTTATCCTTCCCTCATTCCCTCCCCTCCCCACTCTCCTTCCCCCCAGGCTGCTCCCATTGTACGCGTAGCAATCGAGCCAGAAGATCCCCGCCACCTGCCCCTTCTGGCCCGGGGTCTGCGCCTGCTCAACCGTGCCAACCCCTTTGTAGAAGTCGTCTTGGCTTGCTCAGGAGAGCATGTGGTAGGAGCAGCGGGCGAGGTGCACCTGGAGCGATGCGTCAAGGACCTGCAGGAACGCACCTCACTCGTCTCAACAATCACATTCCATTCTTCCCTCCCTCACTCTCCCTCCCCTTCCCCAGGCCGCCCCTATAGTGCGAGTAGCCATCGAACCAGAAGACCCCCGTCATCTCCCCCTCCTCGCACGCGGCCTCCGCCTCTTAAACCGCGCCGACCCCTTTGTAGAAGTCGTCCTTGCCCGCTCAGGGGAGCACGTGGTGGGGGCGGCGGGCGAGGTGCACCTGGAACGATGCATCAAGGACCTGCAGGAGCGCTTCGCACGCATCAAGCTTGTTGTGTCCAAGCCCATCGTGTCCTTCCGAGAGACCATTGCCCCCACGGGGTATGTGACGGGGCATGCGACTGGATCTACAAGTGCATCTGGGTCCGAAAATGCGTCACTGTTTCCTACCACGGTGCTTACGGTTACCACCACCCCTGGTCCCCCTCCTAGTGTCGCATCAGTGCTTGGTGCTGGGGTTGATGGGACGAGCAGCAGTGGGAATCCAGCATCCTCGTTAGCAGCAGCTTCGTTATCGCCGCTAGCAGCGCTGGCAGCGAATTCGGCCTTTTCGAGTGCGTCTGCTGCTTCTGGAGCAGCCATCCCGCTGGGATTCAGCCTCGGTTACGCACTTGCGGTTACCACAACCGGCACAGGTACTTGCAGTGGTGGTGGTGGTACTGCTGCTGCTTCTGTCGGCAGTAGTGGTAACCCTGCAAATAGTGCCTTTGGTTCCTCAGCAGCAACAGCAGGAGGAGCAGGAGCAGGAGCAGGAGCAGGGGCAGGGGCAGGTTTACCCGGGGGAGGTGCTTTCTGGACGGAGCTCTGGGCGGCAAACGGGCGGTGCCGGGTGAGGGTGCTCGTTGAGAAGCTTCCTGGAAAGCTGGCAGCGGTGTTGGAGAGGGAAGGGGAGATTCTAAGGGATGTTCTGGTGGAGGAAGGAGGAGGGGTGGGGGGTGGAGGGAGGGGAGGAGGAGGAGGAGGAGGAGGAGGAGGAGGAGGAGGAGGAGGAGGAGGAGGAGGAGGAGGAGGAGGAGGGGAAGGGGGAGAAGGAGACACGTCAGCACCATCAGAAAATTCAACCCAGTCAATGCAGTCAATGCAGCAGTCAAGACATTCACCCACTCTCGCATCGCTAAGGCAGCGCCTCCTAGAAGCTATAGATGAAGCAGATCCAGACGAGGACTTGGACGCATATGGGGGAGGCTCATCTGCTTCTGCCGCCTCTGCTTCTGCCGCCGCTTCGTCTTCTTCTGCGGCGAACCAGCCAATGGGAGCGGAGGCGAGGCGGGCGGCAGTGGCAGATTTCCGGGCGGCATGGAGGAGCAAACTGGAGAGAATATGGTCACTAGGGCCGAGACATGTCGGGCCAAACCTGCTACTGGCTCCTGTTTCTGTGAATCCTAGCGGTAGTAATCCCAGTAGTAGAAGTAGTGTGAATTCTAATGGGAATAGTACTGGTCATTTTAGGTCAGGAGTTTCGGGAAGCCTTCCAGCTGGCGGTGTGGTGGTTTCCGGGCTGCCGGAAGCTTCCTGGAAGCTGGGGCTGGCGAGCACGGGCTCAGCGCAGGGTGGTGCAGAAGAAACGGGGAAAGATGTGGGAGGGTCGAATGGTGTGATTGGTGCTGCAGATGGGGAGGAGCAGGAGGAACAAGTGCAGAGGGAAGAGAGGGAGGAGGAGGAGGAGAGGGAGGGTGGTGTTAATGGTGCTGCTGCTTCTGTTAGTGACTTTGGTGCTCCAGAGGATGACGTGGCACTGCGGAACGAAGCGGAGGGATTGGCCGGGTCGGTGGTGAGTGGCTTCCAGCTCGCCACGTCAGCAGGGCCTCTGTGCGAGGAGCCCCTGTGGGGGCTGGCGTTCACTGTGGAGGTTGTGATTGTAAAGGGCGCCGGTCGGACAGGAGGAGCCTTCAGCAGTATCACTAGCACCAGCAGTGGCACCAGCAGCAGCGAGCAGCAGGCTAGTGACGACTCAGCACCAACACCCACCGTTCCAACACCAAACGTGCCTACATCAAATGTGCCTATATCAGGGCAGGTGATGAGCGCAGTGAAGGACGCGTGCAGGGCAGCAGTAGCAGCCAACTCCCCTCGGCTGGTAGAAGCCATGTTCCTCTGCGAGGTCACCACCACCACTGAGGCTTTAGGCGCCGTGTATGCGGTGCTGGGGAGGAGGAGAGCAGCAGTGGTGCGGGAGGAGATGAACGAGGGATCGGGGATGTTCACCGTGCACGCGCACTTACCCATGGCGGAATCTTTCGGGTTTGCGGAGGAGCTCAGAGGGAGGACGTCCGGTGCTGCCAGTCCCCAGGTAAGCATTGAGAGGAGATGTGCACTGTGCTCTGTGCGAGAGGAGATGAATGAAGGCTCAGGGATATTCACCGTGAATTTTACTTTTGAGAATTCTCAAAAGTAAAATTCACTGTGCTCCCTGCGAGAGGAGATGAATGAAGGCTCGGGGATGTTCACCGCGCACTCGCACCTGCCCATGGCGGAGTCGTTTGGATTCGCACAAGAACTCAGAGCGACCACACGCACGCACCTGCCCATGGCAGAACTTCCGGTGCTGCCAGTCCCCAGGTAAGCTGAGATGAATGAGGGGTCGGGGATGTTCACCGTGCATGCGCATTTGCCTATGGCTGAGCCATGGAGTCGTTTGGGTTTACAGAGGAGTTGAGAGGGAGGACGTCCGGTGCTGCCAGTCCCCAGGTAAGCATTGAGCAAAAGTCTTTTGAGGCGCCTCAACGGACGTCTGGTGCTGCCAGTCCCCAGGTAAGCATTGAGCAAAAGTCTTTTGAGGCGCCTCAAAGGACGTCTGGTGCTGCCAGTCCCCAGGTAAGCATTGAGCAAAAGTCTTTTGAGGCGCCTCAAAGGACGTCTGGTGCTGCCAGTCCCCAGGTAAGCATTGAGCAAAAGTCTTTTGAGGCGCCTCAACGGACGTCTGGTGCTGCCAGTCCCCAGTAAGCATTGAGGAGAAGTGAATTCCTCATGGTAGTTCCTCCTTCCCCTTTCCCCCTTTGCCCTTCATCCTTCTCCGTTTCGCCGCTTCCAGTTCCCATTCCTCCTTTTAGCATTGAGCAGAAGTGAAAGCACAAAATATGAATTTCCAGGAGCTGAAAGAGGTGAATAATTTCAGAGACTACTAACAAATGTTAACTCGCTCCCTCCGCACTTCCACCTTTGCCCTCATGTGATGAGTCGACTAAAAAATCGACTCTTCCACCTTTGCCCTCATGTGATGAGTCGACTAAAAAATCGACTCTTCCACCTTTGCCCTCATGTGATGAGTCGACTAAAAAATCGACTCTTCCACCTTTGCCCTCATGTGATGAGTCGACTAAAAAATCGACTCTTCCACCTTTGCCCTCATGTGATGAGTGGACTAAAAAATCGACTCTTCCACCTTTGCCCTCATGTGATGAGTCGACTAAAAAATCGACTCTTCCACCTTTGCCTTCATGTGATGAGTCGACTAAAAAATCGACTCTTCCACCTTTGCCCTCATGTGATGAGTCGACTAAAAAATCGACTCTTCCACCTTGCCCTCATGTGATGAGTCGACTAAAAAATTGACTCTTCCACCTTGCCCTCATGTGATGAGTCGACTAAAAAATCGACTCTTCCACCTTTGCCCTCATGTGATGAGTCGACTAAAAAATCGACTCTTCCACCTTTGCCCTCATGCCCTCCCTTTCATGCCTCATGTGATGAGTCCATTTTTGAGTCAATGTTTAACTCCCTGCTTCCTCACTTCCATTCCACATTCGCCCTCACGCCCTCCCTTTCATCCCTCACCTCTCCACTCCCCCCCCCCCCCCTCCACACAACCTCACCATACAGCTGGCGATGAGCCATTGGTCGATGGTCGCAGATGACCCGTTCTTTGCGCTGCAGACGGAGGAGGAGAGAGAGGAGTATGGCGACTGAGAAGTGGGTCATTCGGTGTCATACCTTTCGCCCTCGTCTCATTTCTCACCTCCCCTTCCCCCACCCCTTGCCCCCCGGGACAGCTGGCGATGAGCCATTGGTCGATGGTCCCAGATGACCCGTTCTTTGTGCCGCGGACCGAGGAGGAGAGGGAGGAGTATGGCGACTCGGGGGTGGGGTTGGGTGTGAATGTAGCGCGGAGGCTGGTGGACGGGGTGAGGAGGAGGAAAGGATTGCCTGTGGAGGAGAAGGTTGTTGAGAAGGCCACAAAACAGCGGACTCTAGCTCGCAAGGTGTGATAGCTCTTTCATTGTGACGCGGGGAAAGAGAGGGAGGAGTATGGGGACTTGGGCGTGGGGCTGGGGGGGTGAACGTGGCGCGGAGGCTGGTGGACGGGGTGAGGAGGAGGCAAGGATCGCCTGTGGAGGAAAAGGTTGTTGAGAAGGCCACAAAGCAACGCACCGTCGCTTGCAATGTGTGATCGCTTAATCACTGTGGCGCAGGAAAGGAGCGAGAGGAATATGGGAACTGCGGTGGGGCTGGGGGGGGTGAATGTGGCTGCAGGCTGGTGGACGGGGTAAGGAGGAGAAAGCTTCCTGTGGAAAGAAGTTGTTGAGAGTGCGACTAATGGATGGACTGCTATCAATTCCCACTGATACCCTTGTACCGTATAGGTAATGTTAGGTAGGGTGAATGATGATTCGGGAAAGAGTCTTTCAGCCTTCTTAGAATCTCTTGCACGGGGTATTTCAGGAAAGGCTTCTCTTGCCCATATTTTGTTTCAGAATGTCAGCAACTTCAATAATTTCAAGTCAGCAGTATTCTACCGTAATACTCGTAGAAAGAGCCTACGGGAGATATTACAGGCAGCTCCCAGGGCCCTTCCTGCCAGGGCCAAGGAACTCGATCATCTCAAAACACACCCTTGCCTTGTACCAGCCCCCAAACCCAGTTGTTTCTTCAGAAGCTGTGCCTTGTCAAGGGCCTGCGAGTTGAAGGCAATTTCTTAGGCGACTCAAACACCGGCCTGTGAGGTGAAGGCGACTTTTGATTCGACTCGAAAATCGGCCTGCGAGCTGAAGACGGGACGTCAGAATCCTCTATGTCATCCGGCTCGTCCCTCCAGGGGCCTGGCACTTTCCGGAACTGACAGGCAGACAGAGGGAAGGAAAGGAAAGGCCGGGTTGGGGTGTTGCTGAGGGAGAGGGAGAGGGAGAAAGAGTGTGAAGAACCTGCGAGCTAGAAGTGTGATTTCAGGACTCTCCTTGTCATCCGGGTCGTCCCTCCAGGGGCCTGGCACGGCACTTTCCGGAACAGACAGGCCGACAGAAGGGAGGAGGGACCGGAAGGGGCTGTTGCTGAGGGAGAGGGTGAGAGAGGGGGGAGGGCGGACAGCCAAACAGGCAAGAACGTCAGATTGTGGGCACACTGTCAGACAGAGGGAGCTGCGTAATAAAAGTGAGGTTATAAGACATTTCAAAAACTCACGCGGAAGGGGCTGTTGCTGAGGGAGAGGGCGAGAGAGGGGAGGAGAGACAGCCAAAGAGGCAAGAACGTCAGATTGTGGGCACACTGTCAAACAGATTGACTTTTGAGTATTCTAAAAGAAGATTGTGAGCTCAAGGTCAAACAGAGGGAGCTGCATAACAGAGCAGCAGGGAAAGGAGAAGGAAGAGAGAAGAACCGGGCATGCTCTCTCTTACCTCGATGTTTTTAGTCGACTCAAAGTATGAAGATTTGTTTTGAGACGTCTCAAAACGGCTCAAAGCACGCTAACTCTTACCTCTATTCGCTGGCCGAGAAGCTCTTGCGCTTTGGCCATCCAGCTGCAGAGGATGCAAACACAGGGGATGATGATGAGGAAGAGGAGAAGAGAGGGAGCATGTGCCAGTGTGAGTCAATTCAATTCAAAGCACCAAGCACCTTAAAGCCACACCACGAGCAAGAGGCTCAAAGCAGCGCCACAAGGCTGACTGATTACAGTTCAAAAAATCCCACCACATGATACTCACTCTGGCATATCGGCTTCCTGGGAAGACTCCTGCCCACGTCCGCCTCGTTTTGACTCCAAGCCCTTTCTTTTTTCTCCACTGAATGTTTTTTCTCCGCCTTGTTCTGACTCTCCCTCATCAAGAGGCTCTAAGAAGCTGATGGCAGTTCCGGACGCCCCTGCCCGACCTGTTCGGCCAATGCGATGCAAGTACTCCTGCGGGTTGCCTGGAGGGTCGAAATTCACCTGCAAGGGATGACAGAGGGCGAGGCAGCAAGAGGAAAAAAGAAAAGGCCACATCCAGTTTGGGAAGTTTAGTGAATCTAAAAAAATGTCTCAAAGGCCGCAAAGTCGTTTTCTGCAAAGACGGTATCTGAGAAAGGAACCGATACGGCTGGACCAAGTAAGAAAAATATAAGTCATGGACGGTGAAACCGACAGACAAACAAACTCACCACAAAGGGGAGATTGGGAATGTCAACACCGCGTGCTGCCACGTTTGTGGATACTAGGACCTGATGGGTGGGGTGGGGAGAGAGAAAGGAGAGACTGGGGAGATGAGAAAGATGAGAGAGATGAGAGCGAGGGGAGATGAAAGGGGGATGAAAGGAGTGACTCCGCAGTACGTGGGGCTCGAGGGCTCGAGCTGAATCAGAGAGCGGGATTTTGACCACTGCGTACTGCCACATTGGTGGATACTAGGACCTGAAGGCGGGTTGGGGAAAGAGGGGGAGATGTGAGAAGACATGGGAGGGAAGAGCAAAGAGAAGGGGGTCAACACTGCGAGCTGTCAACACTGCGAGCTGTCAACACTGCGAGCTGTCAACACTGCGAGCTGTCGTGTTGGCAGATATGAGGAGCTGTTCAAACAGGGTGCTGCACTGGTGGGTGGAAACCTGTCTCTCCCTGTTTGAATGCCCAACTCACCTGTGCAGCACCCTGTTTGAATGCCCAACTCACCTGTGCAGCACCCTGTTTGAAAGCCTCCAGAGCTTCTCTCCTTGCTGGACCTGTCATGTCACCGTGCAGCCTCACTGCTGTAATGGCGCCTTCAGTTAAACTGGATTGTGTGGAGGGGGGAGGGGAGGGAGTGGGCAGTGACAAGGGAAGTCGACTTGCCACTCAGCTTCTCTCCTTGCTGGACCTGTCATGTCACCGTGCAGCCTCACTGCTGTAATGGCGCCTTCAGTTAAACTGGATTGTGTGGAGGGGGAAGGGGAGGGAGTGGGCAGTGACAAGGGAAGTCGACTTGCCACTCAGCTTCTCTCCTTGCTGGACCTGTCATGTCACCGTGCAGCCTCACTGCTGTAATGGCGCCTTCAGTTAAACTGGATTGTGTGGAGGGGGAAGGGGAGGGAGTGGGCAGTGACAAGGGAAGTCGACTTGCCACTCAGCTTCTCTCCTTGCTGGACCTGTCATGTCACCGTGCAGCCTCACTGCTGTAATGGCGCCTTCAGTTAAACTGGATTGTGTGGAGGGGGAAGGGGAGGGAGTGGGCAGTGACAAGGGAAGTCGACTTGCCACTCAGCTTCTCTCCTTGCTGGACCTGTCATGTCACCGTGCAGTTAAACTGGATTGTGTGGAGGGGGAAGGGGAGGGAGTGGGCAGTGACAAGGGAAGTCGACTTGCCACTCAGCTTCTCTCCTTGCTGGACCTGTCATGTCACCGTGCAGCCTCACTGCTGTAATGCCGCCTTCAGTTAAACTGGATTGTGTGGAGGGGGAAGGGGAGGGAGTGGGCAGTGACAAGGGAAGTCGACTTGCCACTCAGCTTCTCTCCTTGCTGGACCTGTCATGTCACCGTGCAGCCTCACTGCTGTAATGCCGCCTTCAGTTAAACTGCAGAGAAAAAAGGTGGGGGTGTTATGAGCGGAAATGACATTGGCATGAAGTCAGGGGGACAAAGATGCACTTTTGAAAATGCTGATTTCGAGGGTGTTGTGTGAGGGTGAGATGGAAGGGCGTGAAAGATCGATCGTGAAAGGGCGTGAAAGATCGATCGTGAAAGGGCGTGAAAGATCGATCGTGAAAGGGCGTGAAAGATCGATCGTGAAAGGGCGTGAAAGATCGATCGTGAAAGGGCGTGAAAGATCGATCGTGAAAGGGCGTGAAAGATCGATCGTGAAAGGGCGTGAAAGATCGATCGTGAAAGGGCGTGAAAGATCGATCGTGAAAGGGTGTGAAAGATCGATCGTGAAAGGGCGTGAAAGATCGATCGTGAAAGGGCGTGAAAGATCGATCGTGAAAGGGCGTGAAAGATCGATCGTGAAAGGGCGTGAAAGATCGATCGTGAAAGGGCGTGAAAGATCGATCGTGAAAGGGCGTGAAAGATCGATCGTGAAAGGGCGTGAAAGATCGATCGTGAAAGGGCGTGAAAGATCGATCGTGAAAGGGCGTGAAAGATCGATCGTGAAAGGGCGTGAAAGATCGATCGTGAAAGGGCGTGAAAGATCGATCGTGAAAGGGCGTGAAAGATCGATCGTGAAAGGGCGTGAAAGATCGATCGTGAAAGGGCGTGAAAGATCGATCGTGAAAGGGCGTGAAAGATCGTGAAACGGGTGTAAGCTGGAATAGGAATGCCACGAGGCTTATCAAAATAGGGGAGAGATTAGAGGAAAGAGGCGGCAGAGGGTTAGCCTAGGAGAGAGAGCGACCCACATTTGGCGGATCCTTTCGGTTGACACTCTTTATAACACTCTTTGACAAAACAGGGAGTTAGCACAGAGCTTACAGAGCTCTCTGAGGATTCTTACAGAGCCTTTGTGAACAAACTACAACTTAAAGGTGACAAAGGGGTGGCATAGGAGAGACACTCACGTCAGGTGCAGTTTTTTTGAGACGTCTCAAAACATGCAACTTAAAGGTGACAAAGCGGTGGCATAGGAGAGACACTCACGTCTGGTGCAGTTTTTCAGCCCGAGGCACCGTGCGAACAAAAACAAGCGCTTGGTGGTTCTGGTGGGAAGGGGTTAGGGGGAGGGAATGGATGGGTGGGAGAGAGGTATGGATGGGTGAGAGGTGGTACAGGGGGAGAGAAGCCGACGAAGGAGCAAGAAGAGACGTCTCAAAACACTTCTTTGAGCACTTCTTCAAAACACTTCTTTGAGCACTTCTTCAAAACACTTCTTTGAGCACTTCTTCAAAACACTTCTTTGAGCACTTCTTCAAAACACTTCTTTGAGCACTTCTTCAAAACACTTCTTTGAGCACTTCTTCAAAACACTTCTTTGAGCACTTCTTCAAAACACTTCTTTGAGCACTTCTTCAAAACACTTCTTTGAGCACTTCTTCAAAACACTTCTTTGAGCACTTCTTCAAAACACTTCTTTGAGCACTTCTTCAAAACACTTCTTTGAGCACTTCTTCAAAACACTTCTTTGAGCACTTCTTCAAAACACTTCTTTGAGCACTTCTTCAAAACACTTCTTTGAGCACTTCTTCAAAACACTTCTTTGAGCACTTCTTCAAAGCACTTCTTTGAGCACTTCTTCAAAGCACTTCTTTGAGCACTTCTTCAAAGCACTTCTTTGAGCACTTCTTCAAAGCACTTCTTTGAGCACTTCTTCAAAACACTTCTTTGAGCACTTCTTCAAAGCACTTCTTTGAGCACTTCTTCAAAGCACTTCTTTGAGCACTTCTTCAAAGCACTTCTTTGAGCACTTCTTCAAAGCACTTCTTTGAGCACTTCTTCAAAGCACTTCTTTGAGCACTTCTTCAAAGCACTTCTTTGAGCGCTTCTTCAAAACACTTCTTTGAGCGCTTCTTCAAAACACTTCTTTGAGCACTTCTTCAAAACACTTCTTTGAGCACTTCTTCAAAACACTTCTTTGAGCGCTTCTTCAAAACACTTCTTTGAGCGCTTCTTCAAAACACTTCTTTGAGCACTTCTTCAAAACACTTCTTTGAGCACTTCTTCAAAACACTTCTTTGAGCACTTCTTCAAAACACTTCTTTGAGCACTTCTTCAAAGCACTTCTTTGAGCACTTCTTCAAAGCACTTCTTTGAGCACTTCTTCAAAGCACTTCTTTGAGCACTTCTTCAAAACACTTCTTTGAGCACTTCTTCAAAACACTTCTTTGAGCACTTCTTCAAAGCACTTCTTTGAGCACTTCTTCAAAGCACTTCTTTGAGCACTTCTTCAAAGCACTTCTTTGAGCACTTCTTCAAAGCACTTCTTTGAGCACTTCTTCAAAGCACTTCTTTGAGCGCTTCTTCAAAACACTTCTTTGAGCGCTTCTTCAAAACACTTCTTTGAGCACTTCTTCAAAACACTTCTTTGAGCGCTTCTTCAAAACACTTCTTTGAGCGCTTCTTCAAAACACTTCTTTGAGCGCTTCTTCAAAACACTTCTTTGAGCACTTCTTCAAAACACTTCTTTGAGCACTTCTTCAAAACACTTCTTTGAGCGCTTCTTCAAAACACTTCTTTGAGCGCTTCTTCAAAACACTTCTTTGAGCGCTTCTTCAAAACACTTCTTTGAGCGCTTCTTCAAAACACTTCTTTGAGCGCTTCTTCAAAACACTTCTTTGAGCGCTTCTTCAAAACACTTCTTTGAGCGCTTCTTCAAAACACTTCTTTGAGCGCTTCTTCAAAACACTTCTTTGAGCGCTTCTTCAAAACACTTCTTTGAGCGCTTCTTCAAAACACTTCTTTGAGCGCTTCTTCAAAACACTTCTTTGAGCGCTTCTTCAAAACACTTCTTTGAGCGCTTCTTCAAAACACTTCTTTGAGCGCTTCTTCAAAACACTTCTTTGAGCGCTTCTTCAAAACACTTCTTTGAGCGCTTCTTCAAAACACTTCTTTGAGCGCTTCTTCAAAACACTTCTTTGAGCACTTCTTCAAAACACTTCTTTGAGCACTTCTTCAAAACACTTCTTTGAGCGCTTCTTCAAAACACTTCTTTGAGCGCTTCTTCAAAACACTTCTTTGAGCACTTCTTCAAAACACTTCTTTGAGCACTTCTTCAAAACACTTCTTTGAGCACTTCTTCAAAACACTTCTTTGAGCACTTCTTCAAAACACTTCTTTGAGCACTTCTTCAAAACACTTCTTTGAGCACTTCTTCAAAGCACTTCTTTGAGCACTTCTTCAAAGCACTTCTTTGAGCACTTCTTCAAAGCACTTCTTTGAGCACTTCTTCAAAACACTTCTTTGAGCACTTCTTCAAAACACTTCTTTGAGCACTTCTTCAAAGCACTTCTTTGAGCACTTCTTCAAAGCACTTCTTTGAGCACTTCTTCAAAGCACTTCTTTGAGCACTTCTTCAAAGCACTTCTTTGAGCACTTCTTCAAAGCACTTCTTTGAGCGCTTCTTCAAAACACTTCTTTGAGCGCTTCTTCAAAACACTTCTTTGAGCACTTCTTCAAAACACTTCTTTGAGCACTTCTTCAAAACACTTCTTTGAGCACTTCTTCAAAACACTTCTTTGAGCGCTTCTTCAAAACACTTCTTTGAGCACTTCTTCAAAACACTTCTTTGAGCACTTCTTCAAAACACTTCTTTGAGCACTTCTTCAAAACACTTCTTTGAGCACTTCTTCAAAACACTTCTTTGAGCACTTCTTCAAAACACTTCTTTGAGCACTTCTTCAAAACACTTCTTTGAGCACTTCTTCAAAACACTTCTTTGAGCACTTCTTCAAAACACTTCTTTGAGCACTTCTTCAAAGCACTTCTTTGAGCACTTCTTCAAAGCACTTCTTTGAGCACTTCTTCAAAACACTTCTTTGAGCACTTCTTCAAAGCACTTCTTTGAGCACTTCTTCAAAGCACTTCTTTGAGCACTTCTTCAAAGCACTTCTTTGAGCACTTCTTCAAAGCACTTCTTTGAGCACTTCTTCAAAGCACTTCTTTGAGCGCTTCTTCAAAACACTTCTTTGAGCGCTTCTTCAAAACACTTCTTTGAGCACTTCTTCAAAACACTTCTTTGAGCACTTCTTCAAAACACTTCTTTGAGCACTTCTTCAAAACACTTCTTTGAGCGCTTCTTCAAAACACTTCTTTGAGCACTTCTTCAA